AAATTCTTTGACAGACTGTTTGATAAACTAAAAGAATAGCTAGAAAAATTTACTGCCCCTCTGAACGTTTGATTTATCATATGTTCCGTTATTTGAAATGCACTCAGGAAGATACAAAACAGCGCGAACCAACGTCGAAAAAAAATTGTCAGTGTGCAACAGTTGGACACCGAATGACTGCAGTTTTGTGCTAGACGGTTTTGGCAACAACTCTGATGCAGCTTAAAGTGACTGAGGCACATATCTTGGCTTCGACATGACCAGCCAGAGGAACTTAATTTTTTACAGTCTACAGAAATAAGTAGACACTATTGTTTGTTCCGGTGTGTCATTGCCAATGGAGCTTCACGGCAACACCGTTACGCTCAAGGTTATTCTGTGCACTACACGGCAGGCAGTCTTAATTTTTGTTTTACTGCATCCCTGAAAGAGATATTCGGCGGCCATTGCAAGCCTGCCTGAATTATCTTTCCAAATTCATCGTTTGCCGCACTGGCTGTTGGATCCGGCAATGGGAATCTTTGAACGACGTTATTTTTGTACATAGAATTCTCAATCAACCATGTAATTTGTCATTCCTGGAACATGAGAAAATTCCTGCAGTTTAATTCTAATACCGCTTGGTTCGTGACTTGTTAAGTATCGAACTTTGACGATGGGGAGTAGACAGCATCAATGATTGACGCCTTGAGGACGCTCATTTTCAGCAAGGTCGCGATTTCCAAGCAGTGCAGTACGATCGAGATGACACCCGACGTGAAGATGTTAACTTTTGCAGCAGGTTAGATTTTTTGATTAAGCCAGATTTTTCCTAGGCTTCCAAATGCTGCCGCTGCCTAAAGTGTTCCTCTAGTCACCTCCATGTTTGACAGATCGCCGTTTGTAACAATGCCAACGTTTGTCGGTCTTTCCCCGTACGAAGGGAGATCGGTTTATTCCACTGGTTCTTTCTCGTAAACTGGTGCGAAAGAAAAAAAGCGAGAAATCAGGCGTAATTAGAACTACAATTGTGCGATTAATGCTGTGTTAAATAAAAGTTGTAAAAAAGATTAAGCGTGAAGACTGGGAATTCATCTATATTTGAAAAACTACAAGAATGATAAAAGAACTGCAGAATCTTACATTTTGGCAACACTAAAACCGCTAAACCAGTTTAACCTGGCATTCACGGTATTCGTTCAGACATAGGAATGTCACAACTGTACATAATGAACTGTAGTAAAAAAATATATTTTCAAAATACGGGATTCAAAATTTTTATGCATACAGTGAATGCTGCTCAGGAGTGTTGGCAACTGGTCACGCACACACATATCGAATCGCTATTCAGCAAATTCCGAATTAACGGACGTTTCACCATCGGAAATCACTCTTTGAGAAGAACATCGATACTCACTGAGACGCTTTCGACCGCGACGAATTGGTGATTTCCGACTTTCTGCAGCAGCTTCTACAAAAGCAATATTTTAGGTCGCCTGAAAACCATAAAATATTGTGTTAGTCAGAAACGTTCTCAGTTTGAAAACTGAACGTTCAGTGCGAACTGCCATCTGAACGATGCCTTCAGATCAGAGACCAGTTGTCGTCGTTATCATAACTGAATACCAAATAGGTTTGATCTGTGCACGAAAATTAAGCAGGACTGTAATGTTTGACTTATTTCAAACTGCG